CAAAAGTTTTGTTGTTTATTGTGTTGTATATTGCATTTAGAATGTCTCCTGAAAATTTGGTAGCATTATCTTTTAAAATCAACAAGTTTTGGGCAAAATATAAATAAGGCAGAAATTTGTAAAGTGGGTCACATGTTTTTTTCAGTTAAATACTAAGATAAAGAAAGGGGTTTTAAAAAACCACCAAAAAAATCATAACTCCACTTCTATAAAAGATAGAAAGATGAAATTGGTGTTGTTGTAAAGCTTATACTTATAGCTAGCCCTTTAAAATGATGTATCATTCATGGCAATCGGACAATATTTAAATTGTGTGTCAAAGTACCTATTGGAAGTGTGAAGTGTTTTAAGTTTTAATCGGAAATGTGAAATAATGTATAATAATTTTTGAATTAAAGTTTTTTAAGCTAATTCAGATTGATCAGGTTTAGGGATACATTTTAGGGTTCATGTTAGGTTTAGGGATACATTTTCATTTAGGGTTCAGGTTAGGTTTAAGGATACATTTTGGACATACGTTCGTGGGTCACGATAACCAAGATGGCGGCCGCGGGCTGATTTCTCCGAATTGTTTTTTATTCAAAAGAACATTTGTTTTATGAGAAGTGTGAATAATATTTTTTGCGGTGAATTAAAATTGAAGTATCCACTTTTGATACCGGGTCCGAATAGTCGCAGCCAAACTTTTCATTACAATTACAGATAAGACAGTAGCCAATTTACCGCCAAAAAAAAACAACAACTTTGATCTTGAATCTTGATTGATGTCATGTTAATGATTATAGAACTATATTTAAAATAGAATTAAAAATACAATAAAATTATAAACGTATCCTTACTTGCTTTTAGCTGTACGTCACATTGTTCGTGTTTCTTATACGCCATATACAAATTCATCAAAACATGGCACATCTCTCGATTTGATAATAATGGCTCTAACTAAGATGGCAAGCCAACAGGAAATATCCGTCATAACCAGGGCTGCCACTCACTTTTTTCAAATTTCCCAAGATTTGGTGAACAAATTTCCCAAGATTTCCCAAGATCATACAAATATATCAGAGTTTTTTTTTTAAAAGGGGGGTTTTCTATGTAATTAATGTAATAATAGATTGAATCAATGTCCCTGAAAAACATGGTATATTAATGGACTGAAATTTATTGAAAAAGACATTTAAAACATGTTTATCACATTAAAAAAAAATCAATTTGTTTTTAAAAAAATAATTTATAATCCAAAATATCAATACCCACTGGAGTTAGGCTACTAAATATTACCTCCGAATTCTCTGATAAAAATATTATCTACAATACATGTGTAATAGAAGTCACTTGGAAAAAAAAGCATACAAGGCTAATCAACACAGAATTCCTTTTACAAAGGCAAAAGTTTCTTCATCAAAAAATGATTTTTTATTATTGTAAATCTGTTGATTACAAGTGGGGTTTGCAAAGCAATTAAGCAAAATTTATTAATAATAATTGTAG